ATCTTTGATTCGTTTTCCAACGTCTGGCCCTAAACAGGATTGAAGGACAACAGGAGCTCCTCTATCCGATTCTTGCCTGCAGGCCGAGCGTAACTACGGATCCAGTTAAAGTTACCAAGCGGGTCAAGCATACCTCCTCAATGTCATGTCGGTTGATAACTGCAGTATCAAATACGTAGTGATGATTGGACGAGAGAGACGTACCGAAGGTAATGCAGGAAACGCGGTTTAAAAGAAGAGAGATGCACTACAATACCTTGTTTATGTAACCACATGCATGACTGGCGGCAGCTTTGATAATCATCACTTTTCCTCGAATGCAACCACTTGACTCTGCCTAACGCCTTCCCTCACCAAATGGAAGGTTTTGAGAAGTTACGGAAGTCTCAGGATGCTACAACATACAGTCACCAAAAAAATCAGACAATCACTTCATTACAATTATATCAAGGAAAGCAGTTAATTTACTTTTTATTGCAAAAGGACCCTCAATCAATGCATCTACGATTAATCCGGTTGACAAAGAAAATTAATTTGGTTATGAATAAAAGGCAAAAATTTGGGGATTTCTGCTTTCTTAAAGAGTCTTAAAACCCTGTTGTGTGATTAGCATTTAGTGTGAACCTCAGGGCAAAAAGTACACCATTTTGAGCCCTTTAAATCTCAGTAGTGGGTAAAATGCCTCAGCCTATCTGATTTTTTACGCCTCACCCACCAAAAAAGACATAAAATCGAGCTTTGTAATTAAAAATGATCATAAAGTCTGTAGGAATTTCTACCACTTTGACTTGCCAGCATTTTACAAAAAAGATTGAGATAATATCTAACACACTTACTGCAGAAAATCTGCTGCACTCACTCACACCACACTTAAATTATTTGCGTGCACGCTGCGAATGCGGAGTCTGCCTTACATTCCAGACCTAAAATATTACATTTACACTTAAGGAAAGTACATTGACCTTAGTTAAGCCCGATATCATCTTAGATGGAGACCCCTCGGGATCCAGTTTTACGACCCTAAAGATAGCAAGCATACACCTTTATTGGCACACGACCAAGAGAATTTACGTAAACTGCTTCTTAAAGCTACTGAATTCCGACATAAGTAGGCGGGCCGTGCTTTGTAAAGTAATTTAAATTCTCACCATCGTATTTAAACCACATGCTGAATAGATAGACTTCTCACAGTAAACACCGTCCAAGTTGTCTTGTGCGATTGTACAGAGAGATTTACTGCACAAGCCGTTGGCCTTACAAGGTCAGTGCCACTAAGACTCCGTATAATAGGATAGAATAGACAACTGCCTCGCAGTTTAAGGATTGTCTTTCAAAATGCCTTCTGCCATTACGTATCCTGCCAAGGTTTGCTCACTCCTAGTAAAGCCTCTTTAACTTTGTTTAAAAGTCGTTTTTTAATTCTATCTTTAATGCTCAAATAAAGGGCGAAAAGTGTGTTTACGCAATCGCAAGTAATTTTCTCTAAGACGAGGTATTTAAGAAAGTATACGAAATTATCTGCGCATTCCTGACAAGTCACAGCATGCGTTGATGCGGTTAATATCAGGCTTTTTTCGCATGGCCTCCCAAAAGGGAGGGAAGAATGGGGAAAGAGGCGGAGGAGGGGTGGAGGAGGGCACAAAATGCCCTTAAACGCAATCTTCCACGCTTTCCCGCCAATCAAGGCAGTCTGACGATTCACTGAACGATGAGCTCACAAACCTAACTTTTAATTACCCGTAAGACAATAATTCCTGCACAAACGGGTCTTATAGTGTATTTTTCAAGATCTATGCCCTCACACTCTGCCTCGAGTCCATTTCCGAGGTAGTCGAAGGAAGCAACCTTTCATTCCCTTTGTGAAATTCACTTGTTCCCATATTTTTGAAAAAGAGGATAAAAATGTGGGTGGTTGGTGCTATGACAACAACTTAGGGTGACAGTTCCATCATTTTTTATGCAAAGCTAAACCCTACTTCTCAACTGATTTTACCTTAACAATTTTATAGTAAAATATCATTTAATAAAGGCGCATTCAAAAGCCGTTTTCGGGAGACCTTAATCTTTCAAGCTAAGATGAGATGTCTGGGAAATTTAATTCAACTATCCACCCTTCAAAAATGCTCAGACTTTTGTTAAGCTTAGGCAAAACAGAGGCAAGGGAAAGATGGTCACGCGACTCCTGTTTCATCCCTTTAAATGTGTTCTTTCGGCTGGCTTAAGGCGAAGTTGTCTGTCGTCGGTGTGTTGACAGGGGTAAGCTCCTGGAAGCTCAATAATGCTTCATAAGTGGACTTGCCTTAAAAATGTGTAAAAAAAAGATTTTGGATTTACTGGATAAAAGTTATTTCACTGCGCTCCACCAACGACCCCGTCGGATTGGTGTGGTGTTCAGATTGGCGAAATGTGCCCTTCCTGAGAGGAGTTAATGAATACGTAGGTGGAGTTAAAAGTGAAATGGCAGCCAGGATGATGTCCTATTGTGCTGTCGACTCATTTTTGCACGAAGTAAATTTTGCATTCCCTAAACTCCTTCAACGTCTCACAGAGTCTCTAAGCCCACCAGTACAGATCTCTCACCAAATCCCCAAACCAATCATTGGAACCTGTTGACGGAGCACTGAAACTCAACAACGCAGTCAGTCAAGGAGTGATGCTTAGAGTAATCGCAAGGATCGGTGATGTGGTCTACAATCAACATTTCAGTCCCATCCGCGTAGACAATGCTATGGAATTCACAAATTACTGAACTATCTTCTCCTTCCTTACTTCCATCATTGTTGCTAGTGAAAGACGAAGGCTTCGAAGAAGTAGGGCTATGCGTCTGCCTGAATGTCTTGTGTCCTGAGAATTGTGCTTCAGCATTTCAAAGCTACTGTCATTGTCTTCCAATCGGTGCACTTAATTTTGCCACTTCATTCTACCCTACTTTGCTCCACGTTTTCAAGAGGGAAAGATCATCTTCTATGCTCTTTGGCCTCTTTTTCCTGAGTGCATTTGTTAGGGTTTCTTCGTACCATGTGACGAGGAGCTTCACACGGACACACAAAAACACCCAGAATTTTCACCAAGAAAGAACAGTCTCAGTGGGTTGTGTTTTTCTTTTTCTTTTTTGCCTTTAACTGTGTTGGAGGCATTGAAAGGCCATCTGGATGATAAACAAATGTATGCATTAGGCTAACGCTTAATGAACTGTTTACAGTGCCCAATCACACTCCATAAATTTCCACCCGCTCCCCTTTCCAGCATCGTGTTATCTGATGGTACAAATGCTGTGCAAAGAACCACCCTCCCTAAATAGAGGAGGTGGTGGTAGAGATGCAGGAGGCGGAGGAGGAAGGGATTGAAAAAAGGGGCGTCCATACATGCCCCAACAGTGATACAATCCTTAAGTCAAAATCTCTTTCACCTACAGGTTAACCTTGGGGAAAATTTACTTACACGCCATAAGTCCAACCGTGAATAGGGAATGAGAAGCGGACTTATTGCATTCCATTAGGGCGTTTCATGTAGTTTCATGGGGCATAAGACAACCAAACGCCCTTCATATATTCACTTTATTACCGTACTAATAACCCTTTTTTTAGGAAACATTACCCAACCAGTGGTGGGATACACCTGTTGAAGCATTCGCAGAGCATAAACACAAGTATGCGGATAAACTAGTCTCCTCTACTTCATCCTAAATCTCTCGACCACCCCGTCGACAAGCGTTGGCCATAAAGGGAGGCGAGGACTTCCATGGAACAGCAGAATTACTAAATCTAGAGCAAACAATCACCAATTTGCGTCTCTCTCTACTTCATATGGCTTCAATGAAATGGAAAGCCTCCGCCTTCACGCCCAAGTACAATAAGGTTGGCGAGAAAAGGTGGCCTTTTTAAAACGATGGTCCTCGACGTGTACAAGTAATGAATGCTAAAAACCAACTATGGTGCTGCCTTGCACTTAAAAGTGAAGGAATTTTACTTTTTTTGGTTATTTTAAGAATTTAAAGCATTGTCTTTTCTTTGACTCCGTTTTTATGATCTTGGCTTGGGGTTGTTTGAAATATGGAAGATAAAATTTGTGTTTACTGCAATTCTCTCGGGATCCGCACTCCACCAACGCCTTTAAGTGTCTTCAACGTACCTTAAGACGGTTTGTTATTCCTGACCCTTGACGTTGTTCTGCAAAATGGCCTCTTAAGGGCATTACAGAGTGGGTTTATGAGTATTTTCCCCATGGGCTTGTCGATGTACCCCGTACAGATTGCGATTTTACAGTCTATCGCATACTATGCACTTATAAATCATGAAAATAAACAAACGGTCAAACAACCAAAGTAAAAGCGTCTAGCTTTTAATATTATCAGGCCTTTTATTCATCAAATAGTGTTGTCAAGCCAATCAGACAATGCAATTTTTTGTATTCGAAAGGCTCTACTAATGAAGTCGGCCAGTCATTTGCCCAATTGAGGGCGATGGGGTGTGTCAGCAGGACATACCAGTCCCCTCTTGTGATGATTAACTCCGTATTTGGGCGAAGAACATAAATTAGGCATTTAAATGTCACGTAAGTTAAGTCTCAAGTCCCATGACTTCTCCCAAAGATCAAGGTTGAAGTAAAACGCGGACGCCCTCGGTCTCCAATGTAGGCAATAGCAGGAGACCCAATGAGTTCACTACCAAAAATAATGGTCAAAAAAACGAGCCAATATTTAACCAGATTTGGTTAGGATATTAAGCGAAAATCCCAAATCATGTCCGCATAATATCCTAAATTTCTTAACTCCTTTTTAATTTAACCTCTAAAGTATCTTATAAATGGGTTTGTGTGAGTGAAGAAAAAATTTGATTTGATTCAATGTCTTTTTTCTTCCAAAAAAAAAGCTTCCAGACATGCTTGACCAGTGGAGATGTAGTCAAACCACAGTGCTTGAATCAGCTGTTGTGAGGGCCGACGTCCACGCAATTGGCTCTCCTAGCGTGACCTTGAAGGCATGCACGCTGTCCAATCACATGGCCCGTCCAAATGAAATAAATATCGCCACTTCCAGCGAGGGTACTAATGTCCATAAGTTTTTCAGCAAAAATGCGTTAACAGACATGTCAATTCAACAAGGTGAAAAAGTTGAGCAAGCAACTCCTTCAAGCCCGACAGAGAGTAAATCCACTGTAAAGACAACCTCACTGCATTGTAAAAGTCACTTTTCCCCTGAAGTAGTAGAGTACTCGTCAAATGGAGTGCGATCCTCCATCAGATTTGATTTACCTCTCTCCTCTCCCTCCTCCTTCTCATCTCTATCAACGCTTACGTCAATTTCGGGTTTGTCCAATGGAAATGTGAAGGACTCTACTGCAGTCCATCCGTCTGCAAACCTTAAATTCCTGCGCAGTGTTCACAAGCGCACAAAACGAAAACGAAGGCTTCGCAAATGCCTGCGCATCTTCCATTATATTTTTGTTTATGGTCTACCCATTGGCGGAGTGATTCTTGGCATCGCTGGAATCCTCTTAGGTCATTTCCTACGCATTGAACCCATTTTTGTGGGTAGTTGCCTACTTCTCATAACCGCCTTTGGGTTAATGCTGCAGTCGTGTTTCTGGAAACGCAGTCTGCCCAACAAATTCCGTCCCAAAGAAATTCCATTCAATATGCCTCAAGATGACAGTTTAGTGTCAAGGTCCAATGACCCGTTTGATCATGAGACCGATAAGAGCGCTGGCTCAGACACTAGTGAACAGCCAGTCAAATCGCCTGCTATGGATCCAGCTCAGGTTCGGCGGCTAAGCATGGCGTTGAATAGAGCCACAGCTGAGTTATCCGCCGCCAGACAAATCACCTCAGTCACTGGGGCCGGAAGCGGTGTTCTCAATCTCGCACGTAGATTGACCATGGGTCCGATGCAATTCGGCGATTACAGTGGTATGCGGGAATTGGAGTCCGGCAACGGATGGATTGCTGGTAGATTCCCCCAAGGCGTACGACGAGGTCTCGCCTGGAATGACACAGGCGCCTCCAGATTTTATGCATCAAACTATGATTAATTTGTTTCACTTCGTTCACTTGTGTTCACATGACTGGGCTTTCGATAATTTATGTTGTTTTGTACTTGATACGGTCGTTATCCTCATCTCCACTTCGTTCCAAATCAGGCAAAATACACTGCGACCCTTTGTAAAATAGGATTACTGAGCGAACTTATTTGCAGTTGGACCTCAGAGCTCTGCAACCCCTCCTTTGGGGGGGGGGGGGCGAAGACACCTCCCACACCGAGGTACTGTTGATTGATGGAATGTACGAAACAATATATCGCCCAACTCTTTCTAAAAGTGTGTTTCTTTAAGGCCTAGAAAGCGCATCACTTATTAGAAATAATGCCAACAGGTGACAATTGACTGCGCCTCAGTCGTGAGCTCTAACAACACGATGAGATCTGTGAGTTTTTCCAAAGCCATTACAATGTACTCTTGCAAATTAGTTTACTTTGTCCTCAAAAGCTACTCTGTGGACTCATGGAAAATTTACGACAACCACACATAATCTCAATGAAAGCGCGTGCATGATTGTAATTTAATTGCCCTCCCAGCCTCCCCCCTCCCCCCCCACTTTGTCCTCCACCTCAAAGTGTACTACTGTCGTTTGTGCCACTTCAAGACCACCCTTCAAACCTGCTTAATTTTGTGGTTCAAGAGGGATGCTGTTGGCATCGACACTCTCCACCCAGTAGATGAAGTAGAATAGCAAAATTTGGTTCTTTTTGCTGCACCCTTTGCACAATGCTCGTCTTACATGCATCGAGTGGGTTAAGAATTTTTGTACAGAAGTGAAAGAATGCACTACAAATTTGCAACCTTTCTGTGGCATTACAATACTGTTTTTTTTTAAAAAAAGTGGAATACAATGGGAAATTTTAGTGCATAGAATTGGAGGAATTGGAACAATGCTAATCTTGGGTACAACTTGTGTACCATATTTTATGGGTTTCTTCAAATAAACACACTCACTGTTTCAAATGCATTGCTAGCGTGAGGCTCTCCGCGGCACCTACGTCAGCGAGGAAGGCAAATCGCCGCCACAGAAATCCCAGCCCAACCTCCTGTAATCACTCGTTTACGTGCTTATCTCCTCGCCTTAATAACTGCAGTCACGATAATGGTGCCACTGTGGGAGGCCTCT